ATCCTAGTTATTTAACCTCTCTGAACCTCAGTTCCTCTTTAGTGAAACTGGGAAAACAACAGTAGCTACTAAAAAGGGATAATGTGATAATGAATGGGCATAGTGACTGGCCAAGGTAAATGCTGGATGACTGTTTACTCTTATTATTCTTACTTATCCTTCAAGGCTGGCTGGAATACATTAATGTTAATATGCCTTTAACACTTCTAGGCATATTATTATTAATTAGTCATTTTTAATTACTCCCTCCTTTGGTTCTCAGAGCTGATTACTCATACCTTTCTTATAGCATATACCACTTTTTTTATTTTAGTAATTTGGTTACTCATCTGTCTGGCCACTCAATGACCTCCTCTAGGACTGGAAGCAGTGGTACCTATCTTTGTATCTTTAGGGCCTGCCATTCAGTGAAATAAGGACATAGTTGCCAGTTGCCCTTTCCCTGGCCACAGGTCTTTTTAGGATTTTTCCTCTACTTCCTCTTCCTCAGGGATGCCCATTTTCTTTTTATCGAGCATTTACCTTGGCCAGAGCTAAAATTGCACAAAAAAACTGCGAGTCAAGGCCTGAGAAGGACTACAGGGGATCACAGCTGCTTAAAGGACCAGCTCACCACCTACCATAGGAGTTTTAATCTGGGGCCTTGAAGCTGAGGGAGAAGAAGGGCCAGAGAGTGAGGGCAAGGTAAGCTGGCAGCGCTTCTAGTGCTCACTGACTTTTCCAAGGCAACACCTGGCTGCTCTCCATTGGCAACTTGGCCAGAGGGCAGTAGTGTGCTTCCTAGAGCAACTCCTGTGGCCTCTGAAGGTTGATGTCTGAGCAGTCTTCCCCGAAGAACCTGGATCAAACCCTCCTTTTACTCCCCAGCTTGAGCCTACCCTGCATTGAGCCATCTCTTGGTGCCACAATATTTGGTAGCACCTTGCTTGTGGCAAGTGCTCTCCCCCAAAGGATAGATTGACAAGTGTCCTGGAGTTCAGATCACTGCTGTCCCTCAATACTCTTTTTGTTGTTGCAGTATTGAGCCCAGGGATTCTTTACCATTAAGCTACATTCTGTACAAAAGCTACATTTTTTTTTTTTTGTACCAGGGACTGAACTCAGGGGCACTCTGCTACCGAGCCACATCCCGTCTTGTTTTGTATTTTATTTAGAGACAGGATCTCACTGAGTTGCTTAGTGCTTCGCTGTAGCTGAGTCTGGCTTTGAACTCGCGATCCTCCTGTCTCAGCCTCCTGAGCTGCTGGGATTACAGATGTGTGCCACCATGCCTGGCGCCAGTCCTTTTTTATTTTTGAGAGAAAGTCTCACTAAGTTGTCCAGACTTAGCAGCATCCCAATTATCTACCTACTAGATGTCCAGACTAGCTTTGAATTTGTGATCCTCCTGCCTCAGCATCGCAAGTTGTTGGGATCACAGGTGTGACTGTGTGGTGGTTTCTAATTATTATTATTTTTTAAAATTTTCTTTTAGTTGTAGATGGACAATACCTTTATTTTACTTATTTTTATTTTTATGTGGTGCTGAGAATCGAACCCAGTGCCTCACACATGCTAGGAAAATACTCTACCACTGAGCTACATCCTAGCTCCGGTTTCTAATTGGTTTTTGCCCTCTAAGAATAAAAATAAGACCCTCTCCCAAGAACAATACATTTCTGGATTCACTTACAAATATTTTGTACTAAGGAAAATGGTCCCATCCATGTACCAACCTGTAGATCATAGAAGCTATATAAAGAACCTATGTTATGGATATGGGAGTATCCTCTCTGACCCCCAAGGACTCCTTGATCCTACCAACCACACTTTCATTTTTTTTTTTTTTTGTACTGTGAATTGAACCCAGGGACACTTTCACTATACCACTGGGCTACATCCCCAGATCTTCTTATTTTTCATTTATTTTACTTTTTGGTATGGGGGATTGAACCCAGGGGCACTTAACCACTGAGCCACATCCCCAGCCCTATTTATTTTTGAGACAGGGTCTCACTAAGTCGCTTAGGCTGAGGCGGACCTGAACTTGTGATCCTCCTTCCTTAGTCTCCCAAGTTGCTGGGATTACAGACATGGGACAATGCACATGGCCCAATTTGGGTTTTAGATCTAGGAATTCCAGGACTGTTTGGAATCCCAAAGGGAGATTTTTACTGGACTCTTGGTAAAAATAGGTTCCTGGCACTCCACAGTAACAAAAAGGCAGTTGCCTTCCCTGGGGGCTGTTCCTTGATTACCTCCAGAGCAAGTGACCTCGAAATGATGCCAATGTAATATCCCAAAGGGTTATGGTGTTCCATTTGTGTAACAGCATTACCAGTTCATCCATTGCTCCCTTGGTGACACATCAGCTGCCACTCTAACCTCAGTCCCATACCTTCTCTTTGGCCTTGAGATTCCTGGGCTCTGTAGGCAAACTTGAGTAACTTAAGGTGAAGAAGCCAACAGAATCAGTAGATTGATAGACTACTAGTTCTCACTGAGTATGAATTTGCCTCTTAGCCAGGGGACATCTGTTAATATCTGACATTTGTTAATTGGTTGCACAACCTGGGGGTGGGGTTAGTTGCTACTAACATCTAGTAGGTAGAGAACTGGGATGCTGTTAAACATGCATTGTGTAGGAGACTACTTCCCCTTCAAAAGTGAATTTCCTGGCCCTAAATATGCCAAGGTTGAGAAATCTTAAAGTGGAAAGGCCATGATTGTTGATTAAATGTCAGATGGACTTGGAATGGAATTGCTGGCCTGCTGTATGACCTTGGACATGTCACTTAACTTGGGCAAATGTCAAATGAGTCAAGACAGTGATAACAGGTTCTGGAGTTTGAATCCTAGCTTTACTAGCCAGCTGTGTGACTTTAGGCAGGATGCCTCACCTCTCTGAGCTTTCCCTCCATTTTTCTATCAAACGTCTTGTTCATTGGAATATGAAGTTAATCATGGAAAGTGCTCAAATATCAGCCCATGTTATTACACCTAATGCAGACCTCCTTGATTTCTCCTTTTGAAACTTCCATAGGCACATAGCTTCCTGTACTCACATATTTGATAATGTAGGGCATTGTTTCCAGTCTGTTAATGACCCCAAATTCTTGAGAGCAAGAACCTTTTTTTTTTTTAGAGAGAGAGAGAGAATTTTAATATTTATTTTTTAGTTATCGGCAGACACAACATCTTTGTTTGTATGTGGTGCTGAGGATCGAACCCAGGCCGCACGCATGCCAGGCGAGCACGCTACCGCTTCAGCCACATCCCCAGCCCCAAGAGAGCAAGAACCTTTTAGATTTCTTTGCCTCCCCCAAATCCCCTAGGAAGCAGCTTAGTGCCTAAGTACCTGTAGGACTACCTTTAAATTGCATGTACATTAAATCCACTTTTTTGGCAGGGAGGTGGGGGTTCTAGGAATTGAACCCAGGGCCTTGTAACATGCTACAAACATGCAAGCAAGATCTACCACTGAGCTACACCCCTATCCAGTCTTTTTTTTTGGGGGGGGGGCGGGGGGATGGGTACTGGGGATTGAACCCAGGGGCACTGAGACATATCCCCAGGCCTATTTTGCATTTTATTTAGAGACAGGGTCTCACTGACTTGCTTAGCACACTGTTTTTGGTAAGGTTGGCTTAGAACTCCCAATCCTTCTCTGCCTCAGCCTTCTGAGCTGCTAGGATTACAGGCGTGTGCCACTGCACCTGGTTATCCCTAGTCTCTCTATGTATTTTAACTCTTTGGGTACTGGGAATTAAACCTAGAGGCACTCTACCACTTTACCCTAGTCCTTTTTATTTTGAGACAGGGTCTAAGTTGCTAAAGCTGGCCTCAAATTTGCAATCCTTCTGCTTCAGTCTCCTGAGTCACTGGGATTACAGGCATGCACCACTGTGCCCAGTTTGGAAGGTGTTCTTAACATTATTAGAAAAGTTCTTGGTTTTACTATTTCACAGAAGTTTTGCAGTAAATTGAGGTACAATTCTCTTTGAAACCATCCAGTTGAACACAAATCATGTCCCCAAGCACCTCTGCATTATTTTGTCCATGGCTTACTCCTGCTAGGGCTTAAAAGAGCTAGCTGGGCATGGAAGAATGTACCTATGGCCCTAGTTACTTCCAAGGCTGAGTTCAGGCTAGCCTGGGCAAGAGTGGGATTCTTGTCTCAAACAATCCAGTTTAGTTATATCTTACTTGCTGGGTGCAGAGGTGTATGCCTGTGATTCTAGCAACTTGGGAAGCTAAGGCAGAAGGATCACCACCTCAAGGCAACTTAGTGGGACCCAATCTCATAAAATAATAAGGGATGGGGATGTGGCTCAGTGGTAAAATAGCCCTGAGTTCAATCCCCAGCACCACCTCCCACCCACCCCAAAAGCAAAGCTAACCAATTAATAATGAAAGAGTCAGGCTGGCCTAGGGAGAACTGGGGATTCTGCCTCTTATCAGCCCTGTGACTCTGGACAAGTTATTTTGCTTCTCTAAGCATGGGTCTCTCATTTATGAAACTGGTTTAATGGGTGTGCTTATAATTCATAAAACCGTTGTTGTAACACTTAGTACAAGCTGGGCGTGGTGGCATGTACCTATAACCCCAGGGGCTTGGCAAACTGAGGCAGAAGGATCACAAGTTCAAAGCCAGTCTCAGTGAGATCCTGTCTCTAAATATAAAATGGGCTAGGGATGTGGCTCAGTGGTTAAGCACCCCTGGGTTCAATCTCTGGTACAAAAACAAAAAGAAACAGACAAAACTACTTGGTATAGAGCTTGATGCAAATTAAGTCCCTCAAAAATGTTACATATTAATATACTAATTTGAAGAAAAGGAACAATTATTATTTGGATAAATTCACATTCCTCTGTGAGATGAGAATTTTCCATGTTGACACTGTTGTGGCAGTGGTTTCTCTAGCCCCAAGGACTTCCTAATTACCAACAGCTGACCCAAGTCCCTCTTCCCACCTTTCCACCAAGGTTCTCTCCAAGGTCAAAGGACAGAGACAAAGGCATGGGTTTAGAGAAACATCGTTTAATGGTACAGCTCAGCACACTCCAGTACCAGTGGAGTCAAAGCAGCAGGGACCTGTGGGTGACCCCCACGGAGCCTCACATGGCGAAGAGGATGAGGAAGGCGACCATCAAACAGAAGAGCCCCATGGCTTCAGACAGGGCAAAGCCCAGAATGGCATAGGAGAAGAGCTGTTGCTTGAGAGACGGGTTCCTGCCAGGGACAGACATAGATGCCAACCCAGGGAGAAGAAAAAAATGAGTGTGGGTAGGGGTAGAGGGCACAGAAGGGTGAGGTGAAGAGTGTGCTATGACTGGGAGGGCCTAGCCTGCAGGGATCTCAGGAATTTGGTAGGCAAATAAAGCAACAATTTGGAGAGTCCAAGTCAACCTGGCTGGACACATATTTAGATTCTGGTTTAGAGGTCAGTGGAAAAAGTGGGAGGTAGATGAAATCAAACTGAGGGCTCCAGTAGGGAGCACCTCTTACTGAAGATTTGCCTAAACAGGGTGAAACTTACAGTGGGAGATGCTTTGGGCCACCTCAAACTTACCTGGCATAGCCAATGATCAAGCTGCCAAACACAGTTCCAATGCCAGCCCCTGATCCGGCTACACCAACTGTGGCAGCCCCAGCACCAATGAACTTGGCTGCTGTGTCAATGTCCCGGGCGACAACACTGGTCTGGAACTCCCGTCTGGCCACCTGGAGTGGGGAGCTGCTGCTGTAGGAAGTCTAGAAGGAGGAGAAAGAAAGGAAAGTATGGCATTGGGACAGATGGCTGATTCTACTCCACACCCCACCCACCTGAGCTCTGAAACTGCTGGCAAACTGACAAGTACAAAATCCTGAATGCAGAAAGTACACTGGGAATTAGTCTTAGGGTCTGTATTCAGATAGGGCCAGTGAAGTTTTGTGGTTAAGCACACCCCATTGTTCCAAGTTTCTAACCTACAATGCTCATTTTTGGTGTAACAGAACTATTAAGAGCATCATAGTCCTTTAATTGTTCTCCTTAGGCCTAAAAGCAAACCAAACTGAAAGATCTCTGCCTGGGGAGATCTCTAAAAGGGGCCTTATTTCCTTACCTGTTTAGATGAGTCCTCTAGTCTACTCAGGAAGGAGGCAGACACAGGCCTGATCAGACCCCTACTACAGCGGATCTGAAAAATCAGAAAGACATATGTCTCCAAATCAGGCAAGAAAAAAAAAAATCCTCATTGATGAGCTTCTCTAAACATGACTACAAAGTCATAAACAGATAAAATCCAATGTACTTCAAGGTCAAGTAATTTATTCCTGTTTCTACCAGGCAAGCCCACACCAGAGCTGCCCCAGAGCCTGGTGTAGTTGGCAGTGGCAACCATCACAATTTGGAACCATGTACTAGGCTAAGGTGCAGCTCAGTTGTATGACACATGGTTAGCATGTACAGGGTTCTGGGTCCCATCCCCAGCACTAAAACTCAAACCAAAACAATATAATACATGTGCCAAAGTTCACTTCTATATGTACAACCTCAGTTTCCCAGAATATAATAAGAATGCACACTTATATCAAACCAGGTCCAAGAAGAGTTTGTACCCAGATCACCAAAGGAATCAGAGGAAGAATATTTATCAAAATCTACCCATTGCTACCACTTCCAATGGTGTGGCACCTGGAATAGCCATCTAAGGAGAACCCTCTGTAACACCACTTCTTAAAAAATATTCTTTAGTGCACTGGTTCTCAGACTTGGCTGAACATTGAAATCACCTGGAAGTTCTTAAAAAAAAAAAAAAAAAAAATCCTGGGTTTCTACCCCCCTCCCAGAGTCTGTGCAATTGGTCTAAGGTGCAGTCTGGGCATTAATATTTTTAAAAGCCCCCAGGAGATTCTAATGCGCAAAGTGAAGAATCACTAATTAGTGGACTGTCTGGCTATGGCTATGGCTATGGCTGAGCCAGACTGAGGGTAAAGGTCGGATCTAAACTCTCAGAGGACACTTCAAAGCCAAGATAGCTTGGTTTATAGGCCCAAATAAATAGGGGTTACCTGTTTCACATCCTACAGCCTCCCCAAGGAGCCAACATCATCAGAACGCCACGCTCCTCTCAGTCCATTCATTAAACACCGATGACTCCCACACCACACATGGCACTACAGGGCACCCCGGAGCCGCAGCTTACCAGAGCCGGAGAAATGAGCAGTGCCCCGGTGGTCTGCATTTTTTCAGTCTGCATAGATTTAAAAAAAAAAAAAAAGAAAGAAAAATTGAGAGCCAGGTTGTTTGGATATAGCGGCGGCCTTCTTGCCGTCTCCTTCACCTCCCAACTTGTCTTCTCCGTACCCTCTCTTCCATGCACCGTGCCCCAGCTGAGGGCATTAGAGGTCAGAAGGCGGATTCCGGGTCCACCACTTTCTGCACAGCGGCTTTGCAGAGAGAAAGTGAGGGAGCACCGAAAAAAATAAAAGATCAGGCCCCAAGAGAGAAATGTTGCAAAAGGGGACTGTCTCCCGGGAAGACTGGAGGCGGAAACTGGGCAGATGCCGAACAAGGTCCTGCTTGCCCATGTTACACAGATGTCTACTCACCCCACCAGTGGCCGTTTATCGCTCATTACCGTTGGTAATTAACATTAATTGACAAAGCTATAGATTTCCCCATCGTCTCTCCCAGCCCTGGGGACAAATATCCCTCCTTAGGGTCCGGCCTACAACCCTACAGATCACTTGACTCCCGGCCCCAAGTCACCTGCACTCCCACTGCCCTACGGCCTCTGCTTGGCCCACAGCGCTCTCCCTGCTCAAGGTGACTGACTCACCTCTCTGCTTTAGCCCTTGGTCTCAGCGCTCAGCTCCCCCACCCACGTGTCCCGGGGTCCCTCCGCTTTCATTGGTCGCAATCCCCCGTATTCCCATTGGTTGACGTCATCGACTCCTCCTTTCTTATTGGTTTTCTGCAGCTTCTTCCTCTCTCTCCACAGGAGCTTCGTGGCAATTCCCGCCTCTATGCGGGTAAAGGCGGGGCCTTCCCTTTAGATCTGGGTTACGATTGGTCGATCCCCGAAACGCTCGACCATAGAGTCGGCGGGACTCGGAGTTTCCAGAACCTCTCACACAAAATGGCGACCAAGATGGAAGCTGAAGAAAAAGGCGTGGGAGAGATGACCGGACGCCTGACGCAGAGAACACGTGACCTTGGTTCCGAGCCTTCATTTGGTCACTCGGGCCTCACGTCGTTTTATATCGAGACTTGTAGTCAGGCCGGAGACCCCCGAGGAGTACTGAAATCCCGCGAGATGTTGCTCCCGAGAGCCGACGCCTTTGCAGCAATTCCCACTCTAACGATTTGTGGAAACCTCTGTTTCCGCCTTGGGAATTGAAGGCAGTCTGCAAAGTTCCCCGGTGGTGAACGCACCTTTGTGCGCCTCTGCAGTTATGGACTAACAACCCGAGATTTTTTTTTTCCCAAATAAATGAAGCTTATATTGTAAAACCAGCTTTCTAGGAATAAAATCACCCCGGTAGAAAGATGAGAGCAAAGGAGTTAGCGGCAATCCACTAAAGAAGAAATATATATTGCCGGAAAGAACGTTCAGCCTTACTAATCAAAGAAACAGAAGTTTAAACGCACCATTTCTCATTTATCAAAAGAGCAGATTTTGAAAGGGGATATCCAAATTATAGTGTTATATTGTAAGCATGTGCGAATATGTAACAATGAATTCCACTATAATATTCATAATGTGCCAATTTTTAAAAAAATGGGAAAAAAGCTGTTTTGTTTTAAATTCCTGTGAGCCAGGCACTCTCCCAAACTGCTGGTGAATTATGAATTAGCAATGCTTCCTTGAAAGCAGTTTGGCAATGTTTATTTTTATTTGAAAAACTTTGAATGGGCTATCCTCTTTGACCCAGTATTTCTTGAGTAATTGAGAGCCTTTAAGCGCTCCATTCTCTTTGACCCAGTAATATCACTAATAGGAACATATCAGGATATAATCAGAAGCAGAAAGAAATAATCAGAAGCACAAAGATTCTATTAAAAGAATGAACACTGCAGAGGTTATAAAAAATGAAAACAGCGGAGTGAAGTGTTGCATGCCTCTAATACCAACAACTGAGAGGCTGAGGCAGGAGGATCTGAAGTTCAAGGCCGGACTTGGCAATTTAGCGACATCCTCTCAGGAAATAAAACATAGAAAGGACTGGGGATATAGCTCAGTGGTAAAGTGCCCCTGGGTTCAATCTCTAGTCCAAAAAAAAGAAAGAAACACAATTCATGCCTTAATTTATTTTTTTAAATTTTTTTATTTGGTACTGGTGTTGAACTCAGGGCGCACTATGGGGCTACATCCCCAATCCTTTTATTTTTCATTTTGAGTCAGGGTCTCACTAGGTTGCCAAGGCTCACCTAAAACTTGTGATCCCTACTGCTTCAGCCTCCCCAGTTGGTGGCCACCATGTTCAACTGTTTTTGTTTCTCCTTGAGTGCTGTGGATTGAACCCAAGGTGCTTTACCACTGAGCCACATTCCCAATCTTTTTTTTTTTTTTAATTGTAGATAGACCTTTATTTTATTTATTTATATGTGATGCTGAGAATCGAACCCAGTGCCTCACACATGCCAGGCAAATGTGCTACCGATGAGCCCCAGCCCCGGCCCCTCCCAGTCCTTTTTATTTATTTTTTATTTTGAGACAGACCTCCCTAAATCGTCTAGAGTGACCCTGACTCAAAATGAAAATAAATACCTGGTCATATAGCTCAGTGGTAAAGGGTCCCTGGATTAAATAAATTCCCAGTACAAAAAAAAAAAAAAAAAACCCTGAAAGATAATATATAGAGCTAATAGTTAATTCTGGACGATAATAAGTTGATTTATATTTATATTTCATCAAAATCTATATTATTATTTTTTATTTATTTATTTATTTATTTATTTTTGTACCAGGGATTGAACCCAGCCGTGCTTAACAACTGAGCCACATCTCCAGCCCTTTTTAAATATTTCATTAGGGACAGGGTCTCACTGAGTTTCTTGGGGCCTCGCCAAATTGCTCAATTGCTAAGTCTGGCTTTGAACTCATGATCCTCCTGCCTCAGCCTCCTGAGCCACTGGGTTTACAGGTGTGTGTCACCACTCCCAGCTGAGTATGACTATATTTCTGTATTATTAAGTTTATAACAGGAAAAATATTAAAATTTGCACTGATCTGGAAAGTTAGAACTCTGGTCTAGCTGGGCGTGGTGGCACACTCCTGTAATCCCAGAAACGTGGGAAGCTGAGGCAGAAGGATGATAAATTCAAGGGCAGCCTCAGCAATTTAGTGAGACTTCATTTCAAAATAAAAAGGGTTTGCTGGCATGGTGGTACACACCAATAATCCCAGCAGTTCAGGAAGCTGAGGCAGGAAGATAGTGAGTTCAAAGCCAGCCTCATCAAAATCTAGGTGCTAAGCAACTCAGTGAGACCCTGTCTCTAAATAAAGTACAAAATAGGGCTGAGGATGTGACTCAGTGGTGGAGTGCCCCTGAGTTCAATCCCTAGTACCAAAAAAAAAAAAAAGAAAAGAAAAGAAAGAAAAAGGAAAAAAAAAGAAAAAAGAAAAAGAAAGAAAAAAGAAAAGAAAGAAAAAAAATTAGGGAATGGAGCTCATTGGTGAAGAGCAAAAAATAATATACAGAGAGACTTAAAATATTCTGCTAGTGTGGTATAATGGAAGGAGTGGAATTTCGAAATCACACCATCTCAAATTCCCATTGGAGCTCCACCACATAACTGGTATATACCTCTGAGCAGATTATCAAGTGTCTCTTGCTTTGATAAGCTACTCTTCACCATATGAGAAGCTGAGACTTCACCATATGAGAAGCTCTGTGCTGTGTGCTTTCATCTATTATGGTAGTCGCCCTAATCCTTGATTTTGCTGTGTAAGGTTTCAATAAGCATGATCACCTGTTCTGAAAGTATTAAATGAAAATTCCAGAAATAAACAATGCATAAGTTTTAAATTTGCATGCCACTCTGAGGTGGTAATGAAATCTTGTGCTGTCCTTCCTTGTCCTGACCTGGATGTAAATCATCCCTTTGTCCAGCATAGGGTAGTCCAGTATAGGCTTTCCCTATGTTAGTCACTTAGTAGCTGTTTAGGTTATCATAACCAGATTGACAGTTGTGATATCCAGGTCTTTATATATTGGGTTCAGTACTCTCTACACATAGCCCAAAGTTAATCTTATTTTTTGCGGGGGAGGGTGGGTGGGGTCGGGGCGGTACCGGGTATTGAACTCAGGGGCAGTCTACCACTGAGCCACACCCCCAGCTTTGTGTGTGTGTGTGTGTGTGTGTGTATTTTATTTAGAGACAGGGTCTCGAAGAGTTACTTAGTGTCTTGCTTTTGCTGAGGCTGGCTTTGGACTCATGATCCTCCTGCCTCAGCCTCCCAAGCCACTGGGATCACAGGCATGCACCACCTCACCCAGCTGCCCAAAGGTAATCTTGTACAATATTTTTAGCGTACCTGCATTATGACTGATGGTTACCTTTGGGCTATGTATTAAAGGTGTATATGAAATATGAACACGAAGTTAGGAGGGGAAATTCTCAATTGTGACATCCTGTTAGTTCTCAAAGAGTTTAGGATTTTGGAGGTTTTCAGGTTAGATATATTTAATCCGTAGTTGATTTCTTTCTTTTCTTCCTTGCTTCCCTCCCTCTCTTCCTTCTCTCTCTCTCTTTCTCTTGGTACTGGGGACGGAACCGAGGGTGCTGTACCACTGAGCTACATCTCCTGTCCTTTTACTTTTTATTTTGAGACAGGGTCTTGCCAAGTTGCTGGGGGCCTCACTAAATGACTGAGGCTGGCCTCAAATTTGTGATCCTCCTGCCTCGGCTTCCCAAGTTGCTGGGATTACAGGTGTGTGCCACCTTTCTTTTTGATTTATTTGTTTTCTAACAGGGTTCTCACTATATTGCCCAGGCTGGCCTCAAACTTCTAGGCTTAAGCCATTCTCCTGCCTCACCTCTGGAATAGCTGGGACTACAGGTAGAAGCTATAATGCCCAGATGTAGTTGGTTTCAGTACCCCATGTTTTTTTGTTTGTTGTTTGGTATAGGGAATTGAACCCAGGGATGCTACACCAACCTACATCCCCCAGCTTTTATTTATTTATTTATTTTGACACAAGATCTCACTCAGTTGCTTAGGGCCTCAAACTTGTGATCCTTCTGCCTCAGCCTCCTCAATTACTGGGATTACAGGTACATACCAACATGCCCGGCTTCTTTGAAATCATTAACAGTATTAGCAAACTTTTACCTAGATGAACCAAGAAAAACAGAAGACTCAAATTACTAAAAATAAGAGTGAAAGAGAAAACATCACAACTTACCTTATAAAAAAGAAAATGAATTATTAGAGAATATTATGAACATTTGTATGCCAAAAAATTAAACAACTTGGATGACAAGGACAAATTCCTAGAAGGACACAAACTAGTAAAATTGACTTGAAGAAATAGAAAATCTCAACAGATCTGTAGCAGAAAAGAGGCTGAATTAGTAATCCAAAAACTTCTTGCAGAGCAAAGTCCAGATCTATATGACTTGTTGTAAATTCTACCAAACATTTAAACTTTTCCTCCTCCTGGTTCTGGGGATCATACTCAGGGTCTTGCACTTGCTACAAGATGCTCTACTACTGAACTGGAACCTCAACCTTTCTACCAAAAAGAAGAATTATTGGGCATGACAGCACATGCCTATAATCCCAGTGACTCAGGAGGCTAAGGCAGAAGGATTTCAAATTCAAGGCATTAAGCAAACGAGTGAGACCCTGTCTCAAAAAACAAAAAGGGCT